AAGAAGAGAGGAAAAATGAGTGGGCAGATTAAAATCATTAACTCCGGTCCGAAAAAAACCTAGTTCGTTCATCGAAAGCAAGACAAAGCAACAGAAAACAAATCATCAGTCATCCTTACACGCCCATCAAACATGCCCATTCATTCATTCACGAAGGAAAGGCACCCCGCAGCCTCATATCCCTACTACTCGCTCCAATCGAGAACTTGATCGTTCCCCTAGGGCAACGCCACGACTGTGTCACCACATCCCACACGGACAAATCATACCGCGACACCGTAATCGACACACTCTGACTCTGCCCGGGATGGAGGAACACATCCGAAAAGCCCTTCAACACACTCGGTGGTTCACCCGCTGACGTTGGGTGGTGCACGTACAATTGCGGAATCTAAAATTAAAACGTTGACATTTTCATTAGACTGTGTTCGATCTTAAACAGAACAACTCCTCACCTCAGTCCCAGCAACGCCTCCAGTGTTCCTGACCGTAAACGTCACCTTATACGCGGGCTCATGAAGCCTGCAAGACACTCCGTGTGAGAAAGAATGAAATAAAAAGTAAGATGATGAACAGTTAAAGCGCACCATAAAGCAACCGATGAGCCTTCTCCACCTGGACCCGGGTTACCGCCTTTCCACGCATTGCTCACACTCGCCGAAGCAAATTCCCCTTGGACTTCTGACACATGAAGATTGGAATACGCAAACGTCGTGTAACTCAACCCAAACCCGAATTCGAATCGCGGCTCAATGTTATTCGCGTCGAAGAAGCGGTAATCAATTAGGAGTCTATGGAGAAAAAAGTGAACAATCAGTATTGCGCCGAATGTCAATAAAATCAATTACTCGCGACTCACTTATCGTTGTATGGGATTTGCAAGATCGTATTCCCACCACCTCCAAGAATTAGGTGCGCCCCATAATCACTCGCGTTCTTCGCAATAGTATACGCCAGACGCGCCGACGGGTTCACATCACCATAAAGCACATCAACAAGAGCGTTTCCAGTCTCCGGTCCACCAAGACCAGCCCATACAACCGCAGTGACATTCGGATGTTCAATCCAAGGTTCAATGATAAGCGGTCCCACAGAATGCACCACAACAATGGTATTGTCATTTTGAGCTGCGACAGCAGCTATCAACGCATCACCATTATGCCACGCAGTGAGGTTTTTGCGGTCGCCCTCGTTCCCGTCGAAATTAATGTATTGTTCACCAGAGTCGGAGTTCACGAAAACGATCGCCACGTCAGTTTGAATAGCCATGTTTCCAGCCGTCGGTAAATTGAAGTCATCGAATAGCCAGTTTACAGTGGTCCGGTCTTGCCTCGCTCGGCGCTGAATAGCTTCGTAAGGCTAACGAAACTTGTCAACTCGCGACTTCGCCGTAAGATGACATAGAGAACTTACAGAAATAAGATACGTGAACTACAGGTACACATATCAGAAGGAGGTTCTGAGTAGACAGTTAAAACACGCACGTTAGCCGTTCCCGAACCCCATCCCATAGCGAGGATACCGTCGTTCCCTCCATTGTCAGAGAATTGATTGGGTCCTCCAATCTGTGGACCAGCATCGGTACCTTATCGAAACATTGTGAACAGGAAAGCATAACGCAAGCATTCACACAAACGTACCGAAAAGTGTTATCCTCCTTGGCTTGTTGAGCGGAAGTGTCCCGTTCTTGTTCTTTAGCAACACAGTCGAAGCGGCTCCAATCTCCCGAACAAGCCTGACTCCAATTCAGCGATCCCATCAACATTTTAGATACTTTATTTTGAAACTCACTTGTCATGATCATCCTGGACGTCCACGTTCTCATTCGTCGCCGGGTCAACAGAGTTGAAAGCATTGAAGTTGACCGCAGGATAATTTTCGTCCTGATGAAGGAAGTACCACGCAGCAGCAATGCGCGTCGCCATATCGTCAAGGCGCGCCTCGGCAATAGACCCGTTCCTCACGAAGTCTGTGAGATTTTGACCCCACCATGATGTGCCCGAGTTGAAGGTAATATCACCAGGCATTGTCATCTTTTCGCAAAAATAAACATTAGTATCTATAATTATAACTAGATAATCCACTCACATCCAAGCCGAAAATTGCGCTAAGAGTTGAGTGTTGTGCCGACCAGTCTGACATAATGACTACCGAAACACATGAAAATTAAATCAAAAGACACCTTTGAAAGTATTTAGTCACTTACAACCACGGAATCCGATTTCACCTTTTAGAATCTGGTTCAGCGTCCGGTCATTTTCGCATGCATAAGTCTCATTGACTTGGTCTATGAGCGGGACGGTACAGAGAAAGCCGGCGAATTAGATACAGCCGTTTCCCCAACCACTTTCTTGAAGAAAACCACTTACTGTATGAACACATCACGCTTGCAACACCAGCCATGACACTCCTTAAGAACGGGTGGGTGTATAATTCATGTTGAGTCCGGTCATCAACATTTGAGCTCTCCATGGTCCGCTCATGCTCTTGCTCACTGGTAAAATTACGCAGAACATTGGTTAGCCCTGCAAGAAAAAAGAAAAAAAAAATTCTGCGAAACGTACTTGTTGACATAATGCTTCGCACAAGCCTGAACACCAGCGCTCTGCATTCCGAGGATAGTCTCATACGCAGCTTCGCCAGCAAGGAAGGGATCAGCACCGAATCCTTCCCAGTTTCTGCCACCCTGCACAAAAAAGTTCAGTATCATCATCGGCAATACCTAAAAACACAACCCACCTGCGCAACCCTTCCGAGATTCATCATTGGTCCGAGTGCGATATTAACACCTTTCCCTTTGTGCTCCTGGCCCATGGCTATACCTCGTTTTCTGATAAGACTACGTTGCCACGTCGTCGCGGCATTGATTCCAGCAGGGAATACCGTAGCGAAGTCCGTGTCACGTACTCCGAGAGGAGAATCCTATTATTATGTACTACTTATCAGCCTTGCTCACTAAGATAGATAATAATAGCGAACCTCCAGGCAAAGACCTTGCCATGTCCCCGATCCGTCAAGCGGAACAGGAGGAGTATTCCCAACACAACGTCCGCCTTGCCATCCCACGCCGGTCGAAAAGTTGACCTTTCGTTACAAAGTATGTCAGCAAAAAATTACAATAAGCAACGAAAAGGTCATAGCACTGCGCACCTTTTCCTCTATACTGAGTCCGCTTATCAGGTCTCTCGCCTTTGACCACGCAGCGCTCCACGCGGGGTTGAAATCGGGAATGACTTGTGGGTCCGAAGAAACATCGGGCGGATTTAACGGGTCTGTAGCTGGAAATATGCCTACAAACAACAGGACATTTAGTCATTACCGAAAGTGTGGGGTGGTAATCACGAAAGGGCGTATCGGCGAGCAAAGCCCGAAAAGCAAACTGCGCGCTCCAAGGAAGGGTATTTCTCCCACATAAATATAAATAACACATGACACATAGCATGATCGACCACGTTCACGGAACGTGCATGCAATTGCGAATACCAAAAGCAGAATCACAAGAAGGAAAGGGAAACGTACCACCTACAGGTCCCTGCGTTGGGCTGGGGAACGGGCTAAATGTATGCGTCACCGCTGGATTTGCGGATGGTTGGACCGCAATACCGCCAGGACCGGTGCCACTTGCCGTTGAGCCAGGCGTAAATGACGCCGAGAATGTTGATGTCACATTCGTCGGGATCGCCGACGAAAGCGGGATGGAGACCCCTGTCGACCCAATGGTCCCGGATGCGGTCAACGTCGACGTGAACGAGGCATTGGGCACCGAGAGCGAGCTCGCGAGAGTCGAACTTAAGACGGTGGACTCGCTCGGCGCGCTAGCAGAAACCGTGCCTGTGCGGCTGACCGAGGTCAAATGTGAGGGTGTTGACAGCACCGACGAGGCGGTCACGAATGAGCTCGTGATGTTCGCTATGCTTAGCGGGTCAGAGGGCATAGCGGCCGACGCGAGCCGGAAGCATGTTTGCGACGCGGCAAGAACACCAAGCACGATAGCACGTCGAGTTGAGAGCACCATCGTTCGTCAACGGCGCGTTGGCGTCGTCGTTAACAGTGCAGGCGAGGTTCCGACAAGAGAGTAGGAGACAAGCCCGAGCAGTGCTGGGAAGTGCTCCATTATGTATGTCAGAGGCTGAGCAACATTTCGAATGAATTCCGAATATATTTTTCGAAGGATGATTGTAGCTGATAAAATATCCAGTGCCGCCAGTCCCGTGACTATTAAACGCGTTACGTTCACTTCCGAATATGGAAAATTGTGACGTGCGCCCACATGGAACTGTTCTGCAATGGAAGGCAGCAGTATCAACCGAGTCCCTCTCATTCTCCGCATCACTCGCGAGATGAGCAGCTCTCTTGTGCTCTTTTGTGCAGCTGACCTTCCTATTCGCAAAAACGTTCTCACTGAAAGCTGCGTGTCTTGTATACTGGGCCACCTCCGAGGTTTCCCCCTGGATTTATCAGCGTCCACATCATCCGCTGACCTGTTTGTCTTATTCTCCACAGTTCGGCGATGAATTTCTCCTCGGCTCGTTTTCCCCGCCCGCATACCGATCGAACCACTTGCACTTATCAAGCTTAACTCAGACGGTGGCCGACGATCGTAAGCAGTCTGAATGTCCCAAATACGCAAACGGGGATATTCATAGAACCGCCCCGCATGGCTAACCGGAAGCAAAAGAACCGCATAAGAAGAGAACTGTATTAACGCGCGAAGATCACATTGAATGCCTAGCGAGGGTTCGCTGATGGAGCAAGCAGATCTGCGACGAAACGCGGCCTGTTGATGGCCGCGCACTCGGATTGTCGTTCCAGCATTCTCGAATAAGCTCCCAAAGGTCGTTCGTAAGGAAAGGCGAAGCCGTTCGTTGTGGCTTCATTCTTTTGCTCAGCTCGATGAGAACTTGGCCATCGTGCTTCAGATGGTAATAGGGTACCTTCCCTGACAGAACCTGTACATATACACAGAAGTTATGAACATTTAATAAAAGTTGATACCTAGCAGCGATCCGAGCTAGAAGCACTACATACCTCTAGAGCAATGCTGCCGTATGAATAAATGTCACTGGACACCGAGACCCTAGGTCCGGACGAGTCCGCATGATCGTAATCAAAACACGAGACACAATAAAGTTCCGGCGCGGACCAACGGATCGCTCCTCCCAGCATCGAGGACGGGTACCCGCTATCAACAAGGTCCTCCACAAGTGTCGACAGACCGAAGTCACCGAGACGCGCATGGCCATCATCGTCAATTAGAATGTTCGCCTGTACCTCATGAACATCGGTTCTATCTGTATTCGGAAGAAAAACTCACGCTTGACAAGTCGCCGTGCACAATAGAACGAGAATGAACTGCATAAACCAATTTAGCAAGCACTTTCAGAAGTACGACATTAATGACTCACGATATGCTAGGCCTGCGGCGATTTCGGACAGCTTCGATGAACGTACTATCAATTTACGACCCTCAAAAAATACGCCATAATGACGAACTCACAAGTTTTAGCCTGTCGACGAGCTTCAGTATATCTTGCTGCTTCTTCATGTACTGAAACAGACTTCCGTTTTCATACCACGGGCACACCAAGGAAATGTAACGTCCGAAGTCTGAGCATGTTCCCATCAAAGGAACGACATTCTCGTGCTCAAGCTGTTTCCAAACCTTAATCTCATGATGCAGTCTCTGAATGTCTCCCGTCAGCAAAGTTCAGACCTCATAGTTTAATCAAAGAACCGATCATTCAAATTACCTTCGCCATCTTATCTTCGCGCTCTATGTCAAGCAGTTTTCCACGTAAGACTTTCACTGCCACCTATTCAAAATATAACATTCATTACTTTTCTCTTTATACCGCAATGAGTACAAATAAAGGCATTACCCACCTTGTGGCATTGTGTACCTGTGATCCAATTACATTTCCACACATCCGAGAACCCTCCATGCGCAGCCGGATAGTTTCCGATTCTTCTGATCTGTCCGGTCAAGTCGGGAGGTTCATCAATATTCTCTCCTTTTCAATAAAATCAACGCATCTATTAGTCTTGGCGCATATACGGTATACCATTGCAATGGAAGAAACGACCAGGCCAGACTTACGAAGAACGGCATCAATAGACTGAATTGCTTCTGTGAGTTTCCTAGGATCCGCAAGTAGCTCCGCGGACCTCTGCGAGCGGGCCGACGACAATGATCTTGGCGAGGCGGAGAGTGCAACTTCGAAACGGCGTTTTCGGGAACGCGAGCTTGAGAGTGCACTGAATATCGACGGCTCGCTTGATTTGTTGCATGTGAAAAGATAAAGCGACGAAGATAGAGCGCTTTCTTTGCGAGCTATGAGACTCCAAGGTCTCACTTTCGCGCCTGAGCAACGTCTGTTGAAGTCTATTTTCGCTATCAAAAGAAGATCCTCGCGAATTTGAACGTCGACATACCTAACTCATCCAACCAGGACAGCGAACTAGCTAAGTCCAAAGTGCTCGCGTCGCACTCCTCGGATTCGAAGATATCCGCTAATACACAATCACCTGGTACCAAATGCGACAACGCACGAATCCACACATCCAGCTGCTTCCTATCATAGAACGTCAACGCAATCGTACTAAGCGTACTTCCTTCATGACCCGAAGTCCACGTCAAATTAATCACGAAATCATCTGCAAAATGGATTACATCCAAAGTAAGAAAACGAAGTCAATCGTTGAGCAGACACAGAAGAAAAGCTCCCGAAAGGCACGGACGGAAGAAACATATGTGCACATACCAATATCCGGCCGAGACACGTGTACAATTTCCGCCAGCGAGATAGCACACAACACATCGAACGGACTTCCGTTCCGTATCGCAGGCCCAAGGTCCCATTGGTTACCGGAATAACAAGTTCGGAGCTCACAAGAAGACAGGAAAGCGGGAGAGCCTTCTTCCACAATGGGTTTCCCAAGAAGAAGAACGTCCTGAAAAAGGAAGGCATAGACAAAGAAACCGGCGGGTTTCTTTTCTTGGGTTTGGGACTTATCTGACTCGCCTCCGTTGTGGGCACTGTTGTTGGAACCGGAAGAATTTTGGAATTGTGTGCGGAAAATGTCGTCGAGTACGAGTTCACCAAGCGATAGACAATCCGGATTTAGATGTGCGTAGGGTGTGTTATTTCGGATAAATCGTTTTGCGTACGCCGTGCGCTTGCTTCGCATTATTTCCAATATATCGTCCTTGAGATTCTGCAAAGCCAAATGCGCAGAACATAATGCATCAAATACCGGAGTATTCTCGATGGGATGTGTTATCTCCAGTGCCGACTTTCCAGCGCGGTAGGCGTTGGCGACATAGTAAGCATCGGCATCGACTCAAAATATTCGAGGAACTTACGGAACAAGTATCAATGAATGAAAAGACATGATCCACAGGAAACGTTAGCTGCTGAGATAACGCGAAGCATTTTTCACATAGAGATTCGACCTATCCGACCGAATCGCATCAGATATTTTTTGCTTTGAAAGATGAATAAACGCTCACATCTTTATTTGCGAGGCAAACTGCGTCGGTGAAGTCCATCAATGAGAAGAACTGCGAGCAGTACGACCTGTACGCGCCGGATCCAAGGATGAACATATGCTCCTTTAATCAGAGATTACTGTTCCGAGTCTGACTTTTGCAAACATGTCGAAACGAACCTTGATTCCAAATAGCTGACTCCAGCGAATTGAATCCGTTGAATGAACATTGATACTTCGAAGATAATTAATAATGTGCTCTTGGTACAAGATCATACGATCAACGTGGACTGATACATATTCAAGGACAAGCGATGTGTCAGGGACAGACTCGTGAAGTGTCTCGACGCATTCCTAAAGTACAACAGGACGTTATATTAGCTATGCAATAATGCAGTATAAAGAATTTACCTTTATATCTTTGAGATCTTCTAAATAATTTATTTGCTGCTCATTGAATTCGTCGAAAAGATGCTCTTGTTGTCGACCAGGCGAGTCGGGAATGTCATATAAATTTGGATAGGTTGCTTCAAGGCAACCGAGTACTCTTTGCACAGTCCTCAGAACCTGGAAAGCCGAAGATTGAATTTTTGCCGTTTCCGCGGCGTACAATCTGTGGCTAAATACCTTTATGAACTCGCTGCAAGAACCGCTAAGAAATTCATGCACTCTGAAGACTTCACCATAGCTCAGGTGACCTTGGGCTTCAAGAATTTCTACTCGGCGCTGGAACTCCACGACAAAGCCAGCAGCTACCGCTTGAGAATCCTTATTGTCTTCGCTTTTATATGCAAGAGATGATCCGCCAGTTTTAGAACCAAGTAGATCAAGGAGAATGATCAGGGGAGCGCCTTGAGCTAGACAGTGCCATAATGTTGAAGTCTGCGCCGTCTTCCGCCCCGGCGGGTTCCAAACAGCGGTATCTATTTCATAACCAGAAGGAAGCCAGCACCTGTATTCGGGGATACGACGTAAACGAGGAAGAAGTTGAGCGCTGAGTTCATTAAGACCGCGAGGATAGAGAGCAGCAGGGCCGTGGATAGATGGCATACAAGGCGTTTTGACGGTCGTCCAAGACGAACAGGAGGGGACGTGGAAGTGAGATCCAGAAAAAGACCTGTGAAATTTCGAGCAGGAACACACACTTTTGTACTCTCGTTGATGTTACCACAGAGACCAATCAACGACACTCCCGGCGTGAACAGCTTTGCGGTGTCATCATCCGATCAGACTGTTTTGATTGAGGTACCAAACGTGACCCTGCCTATCGTCCGGAATATTGATGCCGTTAGACGCCAGAAAGCCTGAAGAAAGCAAATACTATCGCTTAGTCATCAGACATCAGGGATAGTCACGTTCACTAATCACTTTTGACAGTCCATTGAATTGATTGGGATGATAGAAATTAAGCACCAAAGGAGCAAGATTGTATTCCATGTAATAATAGCGGCATGTATTGCGAGAAGTAGATACACAATACGATCGTCAAAGTATGTCATATCTAGTCTAGTAAGTTGCTAAACTCATACCACACTCAATGCCTAACCTCCAGCTGCCGCCAAATAGCTCTAATCAAGCACAGAAAATTAGTACTAGCTATGTCCAAAGCTAAATGAAAGCATAATACCTCTCGTTCCATTAGGAACTCCATATATGCCAAAGACACTGTTACCCAGAAACTGCGATCCACGCCGAATTCTCTCTCCATTGCTGTGTCAAGTTCGAGCAAGCCCTTGGTACTCCCAAAGCTCCATGCAGGTGTACGATCGTGAAAAGTAACGAGAGGAGGAGGTGACGGAGGTATAAGTTCGTCAAGTCGAACCAAGGAATGCCGCTTAGACTGCCTATTGTTACTAGCTGGCTGATTAGAAGTGGAAGCAGAAGTATCAAACGAACTGCTTTCCGGAGGAGGTAGAGGGCACAGAGTAAAAGACATCGAGTGCGATGGTTTGCTGTTCTTGAACACGGATAATGCCTTTGCAAAAAGGGACGTATTTTCCGGTTGAGGCACGCGCGGAGTAGAATGCGGTGCAAGCAGGAAAGACTTGACCTCTGGCGATGCCGTACTTTGTCGATCGTTTGATGAGAGTTGATCGAGTTTTACACGGACTGTTTCAGGGGAAGGGGGCTGAATTGGTCCTACATTGGCGCCTGGAGATGGAGTAGGTGGATACGAGTGCACGACTGTCTCTGGACTCGGAGTAACAGTCTCCATGGACGACTTGTTAGATTGCGGTTCTGGTGGAGCAGCCTGTGCAGCCGGAGATGAAGTAGGGCTCAGAAGACGACCTCGCTTAGGAGGATTCACCCTTGTAGAAAATGACAGAGCGGCGTCGACATGGAAAGGCGATGATGATGGCAATGGGGATAATTGGATTGAAACCCCCGGAGGGAACGAAGGTGATCGTATCCTAAGATACCACCCACGTTTAGGGCGATGTATTGTCCAACATACCCTCGAAGACGCATTTTCCTAAGGCTCCGGGAATAAATGAGCATCGTGATGATACTTCAATTCAGGACGCTTCTCATGCACTACGACATTCTCGACGATCTCGGTTTCCGTTAAGAAACGCTCCTGATAAAGGCTATATATCAGATGCAGTATATAAAGTGCAATGGCGACGCAGCTCACCTTGTACCAAAAAATCCTTTCCGAGTTCTCGGCTTTAACATATACTCGAAGGTCCTCTATGACATCGGAGCTACAGAGAGCGTGCAGGGACAAGTGAGTTAGTCAGATAAGGGATAAGAGACGAATCAGTACCTTTCAACGTCAAATGTACAATGCTCTTCGAGTTTTGCAAAATGTTGGCTCTGAGGCCTGTGCATTCCGTCGCAAGTTATACTTATATGGCACGCACGGCGTCGCGAGAGTGACCACACAGCTAGAATCACGTGCGTGCATTACGAGAGAAATTCGATATTTATTTATTTGAATAATTTCGAACTAATCTTGTCTTCTCACTTTTCGTGTCTTCGCTGTATGCATCCAGGACGACTATTTCACTCTAGTCCAGTTAAGTAACTCGTTGGTTGCTGTGGACTATTTCGGTTTCTTTCCTTCCATAGTACTATTCTACTGGAGCTCGAGAACGCTCCCTTATGATCTTGTGCGTGGCATATGAGTAACTTCGACCCATCTGCATCAGTGAATAAAGAACGGCGCATATTAATTGCTTGTATAGACTATACTACGGCAAGTCTCTGCTTCTTTCTAATGGTAATTGCGATGCGCAGGAACATTTGTTTCCGTGTATACCGTTATGCCAGTAATCCATGCCACAAAACTCTTCTACGTCTTTCTCTACATCAAAGAACATACTGATTGTTGCGTAACGCAAGGGCGCATCACCTATAACCATGTCAGACAAACATTCACGAGATCGCAGACAAACGACTCACCCCATCGATACTTTAAAAACCTCTCTGGAACACTCGTCAGCTCATCGAACCAGGCACGAATATCTGGTCTCCGGAACGCGTCCACCTTCACAATCTCAAAGTTATTATAATAAATTGGGAACTGATGTTTTCCCATTTCTTCTCTATTCCGATTCGCGGGCCACTTCCATCCATTCTTTTCTAGGTTTTGTTCGACTTTACTGTGGGTTCGTGCATAGTCGTCAACGAAGTTCCAAAGTCCGACGGTCACCCAATCCGGGTCCATTCTTTGAGCATTATGTGCATACGTTTTGTTATGTTGGTGAAATAATTCGACTGGATCATAGCAGAGCGGTTTAAAGATGTACGAATCCGTGTCGAGTCGCATATAATACGTCACATCCTTCAGTCGCGGATGGTCAAAAATCTGTGTGGCGAAGAAGGCACACATCTGATGGTAACCTACAAAGCTCGTCAACCCGGGAGGGGGGAGGAGTTGCGAGGAGATTCGACGTACCTGGCCAAGCGTGCTCAAAAGCAGGCTGTACAACGGACTTATCATGCGAGATCGACTCCGGCCAGGTCCATTCCAATTTAATCCATTCTATCCTGTCAACGAACCACCTCGCCTCCTGACCTCCTCCTATAGAGTCATAGAGTCGTATCATGAACTCCGTTCGTGTCGCTGGATCATTGAAATCATCTGTGTGCATGAGGAGTATTGGCCATGTCTGCATCTTGACGTTCTTATACAGAAGTGATAGCGACAAGAGGAGGTCATGGAAACGGCTTAATTGGACAAGGTAAAGTACAACTGCTGTGTAGCCTAAATCTTGCTTTTCTAACGCTTTCGTCGGTACGCCTGTTTAACAAGTAAGAAGAGTGGCGCATAATTTTGCATTGCTAGACACGAGAATACTCACTTTCTACTTTGAATTCTTGTATAGTCTCCTTCATACGACCAATAAATTCTCCTGATGTGTACCACGAATCTGGCATGAGCATAGGCATCATGTCGGACATCTTCGCAACAACAGGACCATGAATCGATATTTTCCATACTGTAATTGCGACAAATATGATAAAAAGTGCGAAAAGCGCTTTCCTTGACGCTAGCGCTCGATAGAGCTTGTTATTTGCTTGCATAGTGGGTCCTGGCAGATCCTCTTCGTCCAGGGTAAGGGGAGGTCAGATAAAAGAAAATAGGTCTTGCGTAGATTCATCCTTTTAGTGCACTAGCCTGCTTGTCCGCAGCCGGCCGCGAAAGTCTCGGAGGCAGAAAGTAAGCCCCATTTGTCCAAGTGATAAGGGTCAATAACAGCTACACAGCCCTCGACGCAACATGTTAATATTTAAACTATGATGATCTTCGTCGATTCTTCGATGATTCCATGTTTCTCCGTGTCTCCGTACTAATAATTCTGTAATATTTAAAACATTTTCATACAGAGGTAAATTAGACAAAATAATTTCGTTGACTCGATCTGAGACATCTAGAGGCGGCATTCATACCTGCCTACGTCACTGCTGCGCCCAGTGATGTAACCCGACGCGATCGGTGTAATATTTACACAAACCGACAAATTGGCCAGCAGTTAAATACCGATTTTTGGAAAGAACCTCGAGGAACGTCAGCTAAATGAGCAACTCACGGTGCTGAAGATGGCCTACGATGACTTACAAGCAACCATATGTGCAATGCCGAGAATCCTGCTGCTCGATGGATATAACGCCAATATTCATCAATGAACATCTGCACACCCTTTTCATAATCCTTCACAAACTCCGGCCTAAAACGTATAGGTTTACAAAGTCAGTAATTGACGGGGTTTCAAAATAACGGGGGCCGAGTATCAGATGCAGGATACGCACCGATTAAGGAATATCCATCGATCCCACAACGCTTGCATCACCTTATCTTCGTCTCGCATCGTTTCAAGCTGAAATAGATCTTCTTCCTTATCAATGATGTACCAAGCCATGATTCCGAAAGGCTCAAGCGATAATTCATTCAGGATATCATATAACTTGGGTCCACCCGGTCGGCAGGAGTAAGCATCATCCGAAATGTATGGGTAAACCGCAGCAGGTCCATGTAAATTTTCAAGCGGTGGCGGAGTTGGATAGCGATCAGGATTCTCCAGGTCAATTGGACGAGGCGGACGAGGCACTTCAGATTTGGCCTGCTCTTTTCTGGGGCGAACAGGTATCAACTGTGGACTCTCGGGCTGCACTTTAACTGGCGAGGACGAAAGAAAATTTGAGACTTTGGCAACAGATGAGCCACGCAAAAACGGCTTTTCTTCTGGTAATGGAGACGTCCTGAGCTGTCTGAACAACGACAGTTCACCCAAGCTTCCTTCCTCTGTTTCTGACGTGCTATCATGTCAATCTAGTTAGCAGGCCTGTGCACAAAAGGAGATGCAAACAAGCACCTTAAATTGACATCATCGAAATCACTTTCCGACGAAGATTCCGGCAACTCAGGGGCCGTTAGTGTGAGCAGCAATGAATTCTACCAGGGAAAAACAGTCAGGGAAAAAAGGAGGGGAAATGGTAACAAATCAGACATACATACTCGCCCTCCGCCCATTTAAATTCAATCTGTGGATGGTGCCTGAACATATGAACATCAAGACCCGCTCGAGTGTCGAAATGCATCTTAATGCTACAAACACGACAAGGGAACTTGCCGTGAAAATGACCGCCAGAGAACTCATTTTCGCCCATGACATAAACTACATTCACTCTCGAGATCCCAGTCGCACGAACGACATTTGGATCATGGCCTCGCCTTCTATTGAGCGGAAGATTATCTATAACCTTACGCAGGTTCCTTCGGAGAAAAGGAAATCTACCGATTGCAGCAAGCCTTGCTTCACGGAGAGTCATTGAGTCTAGTGCTTGGTTCAGTTCTTCCATCAAATCCACAGGAGTTTCTGCTTGTTCCTCCTGAACGTTATCTGAAGCATAGTCACTGTCGCGAAGCCTCTCAGCACGCTGCAGAAGCTCAGCTGGATCAACATCGATATACAGGTCGTCCAGTTCTTCCGAATGCCGATGATCAGAGAAATCAGCATCTGGGGGAGAGATCACGTTCCTTTCTGGGCGATTTTCCACATCCAACGGTATTGTTTTCGTCGCGATCTTGACTTTAGATTTACGAGCAGCTCGAAGGCGGCTCTGCGGTTGCATTCGCATCGCAGCAGAGATAACTCTGAGAAGATGGATCAGTACATGTAAGGCGAAACTATCAAATACTCACCTAGGTTTCGATATCTGAAAGTTCTCGTCGGGACTGTCGTCAGAGTCTGAAAGTCTTAGCGTTCATCAAAATGCCGAAGTGCACTTTCATAATCCGAATATACGTACTCGGTTGCAATAGCGGGACGACCAACTCTGATACCTCTCCGAGAATCAGAGCTAGGTCTTACATTTGCTACATACGATGCTCTCGCTGTTATGGCCTGCATGGCAGGTATTCGCCTTTGATACGGCTCTTTTTCAGCGGACTTCGTAGGAATAAGTCTCCAGTTCTTCGGAGTTGATCCAGCTACCCGTTCTTGTACAGTCCGAGTTTGCGATCGAGCAGGTGTAGCTAGCATTCGAGGTACCGGCGTGGCTGAGGTTCTGAGACCGACATGACGCAGTGAAGTAGATGCCGTGTTGCGTACAGGAGTCTTGGATGGTCGAATCACATGTGTGTCTTGCGATTGTCTGATTTGGGTAGTCGAGAGAAAGACGTTTCGGTGACCTTGCTCGCTTCGAAAATCATGACCTGATTGTCCTTGTTCGTATTCACTAACTGAAGTTACTAGTAAATCATCGGTCAGCGAAGATCGAGATTAAATCACAGCTGCACCATTTGAACCACGACTTGTGTTCGAGTTTATTGGCGTCTGTCTTTCACGATTGGTCAAGTTATGCGTAATGCAGGAGAACCTAACTCACTAGCGCTGCAAATGTCGGAGACAACACAGTCTTGTGTTTCTTTCGAACGCGATTGGACGTCATCAAAAGGGATGCATTAAGATTGTCCTTGATGTATAGCCTTGTATAAGAGTAATTCAAAGCTCAAGCTGGATTATTTTGCAGAATAAAAAAATGCAAAGTCCCGGAGGTTCTTAATCCAGTCCAAAATCTTTCGATTACCGGAGATACAGGCAAGTGGATCGAGAAACCTAATGCGCAAAGAGGTTAAGTTTCTTAGAGCTGGGAGTTATCGATTTATCTCAGCAGGTGTTGAACTTGAAGTGCCTCAAAATGCGCCGCGTCACTAACGTCACGCGTCTCGACGTCACGCTCCTGTGGGCCTGTTCACGGCTTTCCTCTGGTTGGTGTGGTGGTCCCATGCCACCGAGTCCTTTGTACAACTGGCTCTGTGTTCTTCATTCCGTCACTGAAGTACTCGGTCATGCTGCATCAATCAGGGCTTCTCAGGCTTCACAAGCAAGCGCTGGACCTGGGAGGGGCCTAGGCATACAAAATTCTGTGCGAAGCACTCGCCCTCGCGATTTGGTTCTAAAAACATCGGGAGCTACAGAAGATGCTGGCATAAATTACAAGGAGCACCATGTTTCTGAACTGAATGAAACCAGATATGCTATAGCTGAGGAAGTTTCTCCGACTAGCTCCTCAAATGTGCAAGCTGGCAAGCATCCAGCTCACTTGGATCAGAACGTACAAAACAATGAACCGCTACTGTTGGGGTCAAATACTCCCAAAGAAAATATCACAGACTTTGGAACGTCATTTAGTCCCACGGGTACAACCTTGACGAAAGAGCACGAGCAGGAAGCTCCATCTCAAAATGCCCATGTGACATCTATTCAGGAAACTTCTTTCCGGAATATTGAAAGTCCTCAAGAGTCAAACCCTACTCAGGTAGATGCAAAGGTGAGTATTCTTTGTGAAATATTATATTACAAGCTGATCTTCATTAGATCTTAGAAGCAGAACTACTCCCGACCCAGTCCGCTCCTTTGTCCCAAACACAACGGACCCTTCATTCATCCCGCGTCCCATCCTCCCGTATAGGCCGACTGTTCCATTATGGTGGCTTAGCCGCTACATTAGGTTATGGTGCAGCTTCAGAAGCTTTACGGAGAGTCTCGTCTTCCCAGCGTGATGATGGCCAGTCATCTGTAATGATGACACCTGCGAACATCAAGCGTCTCGTCGAAAGGCTTTCCAAGATGCGAGGTGCCGCCCTCAAGCTCGGGCAGTTCATGAGCATTCAGGGTATGCTGACTCATTCTTCTTCGACGGGACTTTACGATTCACTCAAGTTGCAAACACCGCATAGATACGCATCTCCTTCCGAAGGACGTGGAAGAAGTCTTCCGGCGCGTTCAGGACAGCGCACACTACATGCCTAACTGGCAGATGGAGGTACGTCAATTCCATCGCTGGGCAAAACGCTGTCCCCTGATTATTTGCAGCGTGTCATGTCTGATGCGTTGGGACCTTCATGGTCCTCCAATTTCGCATCCTTCGATCCTATCCCTTTTGCCGCAGCGTCACTTGGCCAAGTTCACTCCGCTGTCCTCGCAGCACACGCATCGCCAACTTCAAAAGATGAGAGGGTTGCTGTGAAGATTCAGTTTCCCAACATCGAGAAAAGTATCGAGAGTGACTTGGGCTATCTGAAAGTTCTATTGAACGCCGGACGAATCCTCCCAAGGGGTTTGTTTCTCGACAAGACCCTCCAGGTCATGAAAGGAGAACTTGCGGATGAATGCAACTATACTCGAGAAGCTGAATGTATACGTTTCTTTTGCTCGGAGAATGCAGTAGGGAATGATTCCCGGTTCAGAGTGCCTTGGGTCTGGAATGGAAGTACAGAACGTGTACTCGTGATGCAACGTATGGACGGAGTAAGCGTTGGCGGAAATGTTGTTGACTCTCTTAGCCAGTACTCACGAGACCAGGTGCGATTAGCTTGTATGCTGTCACGAACATTATTGACATGCACTTTCAAGATCGCATCAACAATTCTCGAACTCTGCATGAAAGAACTCTTCGAGTTCCGCATGATGCAGACAGACCCGAACTGGTCGAACTTTTTGTGGAACGAGCAGACACGTCAGGTTCGGATGTCTTTCCATTTGTATTCGTCTAAAACTTCTGCTAACATCTTCCTAATCTTTCTCTTACCTAGATTGAACTAATTGACTTTGGAGCAACCCGCTCATACTCCAAACAATTCATCGACAAATGGATGCACGTCCTCCAAGCAGCAGTCAACGAGGATCGTGAACGCTGTATCCACTGGAGTCTCGAACTGGGGTACCTTACCGGAAAGGAGAGCGAAACCATGCTTGACGCACACATTCGCTCGCTCACACTTCTCGCAACTCCCTTCCGCGGCAACAAGTCACCTCCGCCTTCTTCTGGCACGGGACCCGCCGATCCTCGGTATGAATTCGGTAGAGGGTCGGAGTGGACGAGGATCACTGCTGAGATACGATCTTTGATTCCTGTAATGTTGAGGGAACGACTTACGCCGCCACCAAGGGAGACGTATAGCTTAAACAGGTATGGAATAATCCACATGCATCGAAATAGTCTTTGCCGACTTAACATGTTCTCGTTAGGAAACTCAGCGGAGCTTTCCTTCTTGCATCACGACTCGGTGCCAAAGTGGACTGCAAAGGAATTTGGGACGCCACAGTCAACAGGTATCAGTTTGCGTCATCACCATCTTAACAAAATCAGAAACCTCGTGCATACTATCTTGTTCGGACAAAGACAAAAAAATGAACTCCACGTATCATTATTCCTTCATAAAGTAGAAGTCTAGTCTAATGCTCTAGATGTCCAATAGAACTAGCGCAGTCATTTGAAGAGGTTGCCAACAACAACGCATGCTATGCTCCTTGCAAAACTATTGTCTTTTGAACACTCTGTCGTGAGAACCGTAAGGAATTAAAGCTCCTTTTTGCTCGCTTTAGAAACCCCGTTCGCGCGTTTTGAGTAAATCATCGCCGTAAACGGACTACAAGATGCCAGATTAGTTACTTCTAATTTGTGAACATAGTATTACTCTTACCCTTCGAACATAAGTGCAATACGGTAGCAGATGTACACGTAAAGCGTAATAGCAAGTCCAGCAGGCTTTTCGTACCTGAATAAGGAGTCAAACCTACAATGCCACACGTCCAAAGTCACAAGTGCACATACCAAAGTGCCGTAGCCAAGAAGCACAACGTACTTCCATCATACATCGGGTTCTCGACAACATTAAACGGAAACCCTTCCACCCGATGGTCCATCCTGAAACACAATTTCATCAATATTAATAAAGTGAAGTGGCTCGCGAACGAGATATTCACTTACAAGATACCGAAATAATCACCCAGAAAAGTACCCGTAATCCCAAGTGCCCATGTCGAAGTAACCACAAGCGTCTGTCCAACAACGAAAAGCACGGCCGGAACGACAATGTGCAAGTTCAACGGCGCGTCATTAGGCAAGATTGGACGAGTAGGTTGCTCAGCGAGTGCGCGGTGGTAACTGCAATTGCCATTCGCACAAGGCACAAATTTTGAGGGTGAGCATGTCCATGAAGTGCAAAGAGGTCAAGACGTTTCACTCACAGCGAATCCCGAAGAATACCAAACGAGAAAATTAAAAGTGCCAGGAAATAACAAGCAATTTTTGCATTACCGCCGAAAAGACGCGTAAAGGACTTATTCCGGTATTCTAAACGTCGAGGATAAACGAACACGAAAAAAAAAGAGAAGTTGTATGGCAAAGGTGACACTTGCACATGAAAATCTAGAGACGTACCATTACGCGCCACAATATTCCATGCCAGTGGATTGAACGTTATGGACGCTAGAGAAATTATTAGCGAGGTTTTGTTAATGTCTATCCACTCCATTATCCCTGCAGTCTTTTCACTGAGGATGGTGGCCAAGAGAAAACCTGAACTGCCGAAAATCTTTGCACGCACGAACGTGTCCTCGAGATTTTAGCGCGTCGCTTCTTTCGGACCTGTTCCCGAACCACCATCACTGTATATTACCTCACCATCAATGGATCTTGGCTTGAAAGATACCCGTGTTCTGCTCACAGGTTGAAGACTTTAGCAAGTACATGATGAAAGCAAACTAAATCTGCATCAGGAGCAAATGGCGGGATCGGTTTTGTAACCGTGAAGCTCTTCCTCGGTCGGTAAACTTATTTTCATAAACCTATTGATTATAAAATGCATGATGTTCACACTCGTCGACTCAGATCAAGACGCAGATGTAGTCGCGCATTATAACACGAGCAACAGTTCTTTAAAGGAACTCGGAGGAGTCCCAAATTTTTCGACTGTGCAGGCAGATCTCACACAGGAATCCGATGTTCTGAAGCTCTTCGACACTATCGGAGACAAGTCGATTCAAGTGCTCGTGGTCAACCATGCGATCTGGCCGAAGCAAGATGCACCAATTGCACAGATGTCTCTTGAGCAATGGAACAAGACCGTTTCAACCAACTTAACAGGCTCTTTCCTTGTCATTCGCGAGTTCCTCCGACGACTGGACAAACCCGAAGTATCTGCCGCAACTCGTGACAAAGCAGCTATCGTCATTATCGGAAGCACAGCTGGTAAAGTCGGAGAAGCCGGTCATGGAGACTATTCAGCTACAAAAAGCGGTACAAGGACATCTCATATCTTGAATACTATTCACATTCTAAGATGACGTTGCACTACTAGCTTTGATGTACGGCTTCCTTCTGACGCTCAAGAATGAAATTGTCAAGATTGCACCCAAGGGCCGTGTCAACTGCGTCGCTCCAGGATGGGTTAGCACGCCGATGGTACAACAGACAATTGCAAATCCAGCTGTAGTTTATCAAGCCCTCGCGACGTTGTGTTGTTTCATCATATCAATCAGGTCACACAAATCTAATCGAATATCTACTTAGGACACCAATGAAGAAGATAGCAACGCCGTCTGACGTTGCTCATCAGATTGTTGTTCTCGCTTCTCCAATTGTATCTGGCCATGTTACCGGCCAAATCATCATGGTTGAAGGAGGAATGGAGGGCAGGCTACTGAACAAGCCTGAGGATCTAGGACTATAAAGGATTGAGAAATAAGTAAGGAGAAATAAATAGGTGGGTCTTTCCTAGATCACCGGATTTTACTCCTGGCTTTGAATTTCAATGACTAGGATTGTATAACACATGAAATGAAGAAAATGAAATGCTACGATAAGCAAAAGCGACTTATCCACAATTCTAACAACGGAATGTAGTACTTCAAGATCAAATGTGGCACCAGCAGCTGTGATCGCACTGTGGGCGATACCGAATGGGTAGTCATGAATATCCTCTCCGGCTGAGAATCATTGCAAGGCTTGTTACGCCTCATGCGGAACACTTGCAGGTATGCATCGCCCTCGCCATGAACATCAAGGCTGTCCAACCTTTGCATGGAAAGATACAATGGCTTCTCGTCATTTTCATCCGTATTGGCTTCGCAATTGTTTCAGTCTGTTTCGTCACCTCCATCAAGTTCCCTGAATTCATTCGTCGACAACGCGGACAACTCTGACGGACCAGTCGGTGTTTATTTCACGAGTATGGGTATGGTAACTTATGAAACGTGTTTAGCTACGCTGCGTCAGTTCTCCCGGTATCCCTTCACAGTATCGAGTGAATCTGATATCAGATCTAGGGGTTTTGTTTCGAACTGGATAACGGACGCTTTACATGCAACTTTGCAAGTGATTGAGAGCGAAGAAGATCGGACATGTACTGACGTTCCATGGATGTTCACATTTATCGTCTATTTATATTTTGGAACAGCAGACTGCTAGTTGTTATGCTGCTTTCTCTGGCTCTCATGAGTTGAATTGGTGAGCTGAGCCAACTTCTCAACTTCGAGAATTGGGCGTAAGCATTGATATGGTGCGTGCTTGCCTCGCTGTTGCTGGCAAAAATCTCACATCCTACACCGGCGCTCTGGAGATTCCTAGCATGGAGACTAGGAAACTCGTATGGGGGCCTCACGACGGCTATAAATCTCTACGTGACTGTCCTGATCGTTGGGCGTGTCTTGTATTTGATGACGAGATTGCACGAGTATACCCCGTTTCTTCCGCAACACGCTCAAAGCCGACGTCATTTCTGCAATGCTGGAGGATAAAAGTAAGTCCGACCTACTGCAACTCAGACGATATCAATATCGAAGATAGCTCCGGGCTATAACGGGCACTAGTATCCAAGAAGCACAACAAGATCTCCTCAACGGTATTCATTCTCGTCGAAAGCGCTGCTTTGCTCACCGTTTTTGGCACGATCTTCGAAGGCACGTACGCATCGGAATCTGATATCATGAACTATTTTCTACCGCCTCTAGGCCAGCTCGGCGTAAGTCCATTGCGTGATTTGATACAGTGCCACTCATACAATGGTTCATCGTAGACAATTGCCTCTCTGCTCATTATTGTTCGCGTTGCTTGAGGGAACGCATGGAGTCGTGATGAAGTTGTACAGATATGCAGTGTCCGATTCTCGTGAGATCCTCGACATTGTTGCTTGCACGAAGGTTCAAACTTCTAATGTAACTATTATTTCTACCAAACAATCACGATGCCATCTGGAAACGAAGGCAGAAAGTCTTCTCCGAATGGTATCAAAATCAAGATGAATAGAACCGTTCAATATAAGTATTGTCACGTAGCGACAGTGTATTACAGTGCATAACTTACATGAATCGAAATCCAGGATTTGTGAAACGTTGATTCGAAATCATCGCCAAAAGAAGACCACTTCTGTATCATCCGATCTATCAGTCTGTACGGAAGCACTTCACTGCCACTGATAATTTTCACAACGTCAACAATGTTGTATCTTTACAATCATTTCGGCACTCATCAAGACCATGATGGGGCTGTGGTTACTGACCCTCTTGTTTCAGCCATTTACGGCCCCAGAAGAATATTTGAGGGAAGCCTGTTATCTTGTATCTTTGCTCCTTACAACATCATCCCCTCTTTTTGTCCCTTCTCCTACTCAGAATCTCTTAAGCAGGTTGAGAACAGTGATGGACTATCAAACATTTACTCTAGGAAGTAAATTAATGGGAAGGGCGTTAGATAACATTGACCTTGTTCCTCTTCTGAAGGAGCTGGCAATCTGTGTGACAGTGGCAACAGTGTTGCAATGCAAGTCATCATACTTTTAATTATTTCGTGATCCTGGTTATAGATCATGTTTGACTCTAGTTATCATTGTGACGTCCTTTTTCTATTATTGTGGTACGTACTTCATCACCATAATGTATGTATAGTCAAGTGACAATGGTCAAAGCTTTACATATCAGGGAGGAGGTGAAGCCATATTCTCAGATAATCAACAGTGGCTTATCAATTTTTAGGTAGAATATATCTGGGTATGTCCATTGTAGAGCATACAAGTCAGACGTTTACAGCAATTCATCAAGATTAAACCGTGGACTTATGGCAAGATAATGTATCTTGTGGTGAGTTTCTAGAGCTTTCATCGTCATCACATACTCTTTTATAACCCACACATCATTCTTCCTTGTTACTTCAGACTCACTACATGGGGGCAATTTTTCTTGTGTATGTTTGTTTTGCCTTTGATGCTAGCTAAAATCATAAGTGGTAAACTGATAGCACAGCTGATGATCTCACATTACTTAGCTTTGTTTCTGTGGGCATTTTTGCTATTGGATGGAACAATGCTGGGAAACAGTTAGGTGAGGGTAAAGGGATCCAGATTCTGGTAAGTGTATCCAGTTATCAGATGCATTGCTTAAAGTAAGAACTGGTAATCACTAAAACGAGTTGACTTAGGAAAGGGGCGAATGTGAGTGGTTTGAGGATCATACTGGTTTGGGCCTTGAAAGGTTCTGACTGTCAAGAACAGGCTTTGGTGGACAGCTTTATGTTGTAGCTGGATCAGTAGCATTCCTCCTGGCAGAAGGTACTTCCTATTTGAGTCTTAGTAATAAGGACACAGTTTAATATGGATGTACAAAGTGATTTCAGCTTCACACATCTATGCCTTGTATCAAAGGAGGAAAAGGACTATTGCTATATGTATAATATTGATTCTGCTCTCGACTGCTTCAATGCAACTATTTGGATTCATCTGTAAGTTATTCTCTGCATACTTGCACATTATACTCATCCAATTATATGCCTTTCTAATGCTGTACTGTGAAACCATGATAGACATTCTTACACCTGCAAAAAATTGCATTGGAACACCATGTAAGGTTACCCACTTACATAGCCAAACAGCAATCCCATACGAGATTACATTTCCATGTTCTCTGGCATCAACATTGATAACATTTCTTGGTTGGGTTGCCACAATGTTCACCGAACTTGTATTCCTTTGTCTGGTTCTATGGAAGATCCGACAGTCGAGCAAGCTCAGAGAAGACTACAAACTTGCTGATGAGATGCAACCGCATAATCACGATCTTATTGGTCTTATGGCTAATGATTCGAAGAAATATTTCTTCTGGTATGTGCTGGCTCAACTTGTTGACTATATGTATAGCTTTCAGGACACTTAAATGATAACAAAAATTTGCTATAGGATGTTCTTCATTTGCTTCATTGGAACATGCCTGAATGTGCTGAATATAGTAGAAAATACTGCATTGCAGTCCTTTTCTTTTGCAGTAAGTACTAATCATGGCGGCAGTGCAACTAGATTCGGTTCATGTTAAATAAATCTCTTTTACTTATTCCAGGTTCTCCTTCCCGTGACGATCAACAATGCATATGCAACGTTCGCTATAGCTGCTGTGACCATTCTCGCACCTAAGCTCATCCTCAATTTGCGTATTGAGCATTACGGCCCCGTTGGGTCGCTCGTCGAGAAATCACAGCTATCATGGAAAGTTGCAGGCCCGGAAGACAACATGGATGCAAGCTCGCCCCGGCGGGGAGGCTCCCAGAGGTCGCACTATTCGGTTATTGTGGATCAAGAGCCCAATGAAATGCTTTAGCTGTATAAAAGCCAGACACGCCTGTGCAGGTGCGTGGTTGAGTCTTTCATGTAAAGTCCTGATTTGAATGTAAAAGTTATGGATAATTAGACGATGTCTGCCTTACAGGATACTGTCGAACACGAATGCATGTTGCATTAAGATTCCACAGTGCACACCATGCATACTCAGCATTCGTCGGGTGCTCGTTACACAAACTGCTACAATTTATAATTGGTCCTATCATACCATTATGTGAAATAACTATTTATATCCCATAAGACAGGTGCACAGAATGCACAACGCACTGGCAAACAGATTCTCGGTTTCGGATAGCAGTGCAAGACAACAGCGCTCGTAATGATAGAGTAAATTTTGAAATTTGCACTGTATTGAAAAGCGATGGGAAAATATTATATAAGTCATTCGAATATTCACTAAGGTAGTATAGTCTCACAGTTTTGACAACATAACATGTCAAGCGTTTACTCAGTACTGCTCCTTGCTGGATACGCTGCTAGATGGCACTCTCTTGTCGAAAACCTTTGATCCCGAGCTCATGTCGTGGAGAACCATCATCCAAAGCTGTGCACTCACGGATATTGACAAGATAGCCGAAAGATAGAACTATTGACTTCGGTTACGCCGATCAAGCGCCAGAACAACTTGAACCAGGGTCATCGGTCCGACCGAGTTATATTACTCTATCCGCCAGCGTGTTTACTGCTTGTTGCACTGTCTCTTTATGAACTACCCACGATGAGCACCTTTGACTCTCAAGAGCAGAGGGCTATCCAGAATACCTTGTCAAAGGCCATTCAGAGTTGGTTTTCTTGCACTTTAATTTTACTCTCAGTTCTGACAATGATACATGCTAGTTTGTTGTACTACTTGTTTCTTTTACTATTCTGGTGTGCTCTTTGCTTGTATCTGTGCCACGATCCGGCTGCTCATTTCGATAAACAGCGTTACACTTCAATGAAGAGGTTAGGCCCGGCTCTATTCCACACTTCCTAAACTGTTGACCTTCGTATTTTCCTTGAAGTGGGAGTATATCTGGGTAAGTGTCACGTTCCATTCTCATAAAAGTATTAGTCGATTAATATAACGGCACGGGAAACATGAAGACCAAGAAATGGTCTCCTGGGAAGGCCCTATACTTGCTCGTACGTATATACCTATTAATTAGGTAATTGGTCATAGAGCTCAAGTTTTTGTATTATCGTGTTAGACTCGTTACTCTGGTGGCGCATTTCTGCTGTACGGGGATTTCTATCTGCTTATCGACTACTGCTCGCCTAATGGCACGTCCAGCTACACGCAGATAACTACGTTCCATCTTGCATGGATGGACACCGGAATATTGCAGTTCACAGAAGATCCGGTAAGTATCTTATGCTCTCTGCTAGGTCAGCAGATATACTCAGGACCTATAGAATGAATTTCAATTCTACCTGAGATGGATTAAAATATGTAAGCAATGCAATTTCACCATGATATTGGACGTTTTCCCATCTTGGCCTAGGTATTTATGGATATCTCTATAATGCTCCTGGCGTTATTATTATGTTCTTCGCAGAAGGTCAGTGCAATATCGCCGTGTTTTCATCTTTCTTTCAAAGCGAAATATCACTTTATTCGACTGCAGTTATCCTAGTGATGAGAGTATATGCTCTATATGGGCGGTCGAAGAGAATGCTGGCTTTTCTATTATTCCTCGCGTTCATACTATTTGGGTTCGACGTTATACAACCCATTGGATTTCCATGTATGTCTTCCTATTGAGATGAGTTGAAGAATTCTTCTGGCTAACTTTGAGACCAACCGTAGACGCAGCCACTACGAACATATGCCTCAGTGGAGCCTGCAAAACCTCGCCAGTAAAACGTAACTTGTACAATCAATCTGCAGGAATGCCTTGCACTACATTATCTACACCCATGTCAATGATTGGATGGCTTTTAACGTCTGTCGTGGAGCTCCTTTTGTTCATCCTTGTACTCGTGAAGAGTAGACAAACAAAGAGACACAACGGCATGTCTTCGACATCACAAGCTAAACGTAGCTCATATCGGAACCGCGACATAACCGCCGTCATGGCGAAGGATTCGTCCTTGTACTTCGCTGTGTAAGTCTTTATACGTTGTATACTCGCATGTCTCTAGTATCTGACATCAACAAATATGGAGGATATTCACGGTATGCCTTGTCGGAACTGTCCTGGCCTTTGTTAGCCAAGCCGAAACTGCAAGAAGCGTGAGAAACACTTCTTTCACTACATACTTTGTGGAAGGAGTTTGATGGAATTAAATATCTAGCACGCTATAGACTTCATCGAGAGTCAATTGAACGCATATCAGACAGTTGTTCTAACCGTCATGACGATTCTCGCACCAAGACTCCTCATCAGTCTGAGGGCCGAATTCTATGGACCAGTAAAAGACTTAAATATGACGACACATATGACTTGGAATGTTGCTGCTCCAAAACGCGGAATTGATACTATGCTGGACGATCGTAACGATTCTGATGTACGAATGACACTTCTGGGTAGCCATAACCGGTCGGCGAGTCAGACTGTAGACGTAGAGGCACCCTTCTCGTATTATTCTGACGATGCCTTGCCCCATGCAAGTCAAGTGCCTCGATAGCAGTGTATTTTACAGCAGATATCAATGTAACGATAGTTAACAAGTGATGTATCCGCAATTCCGTTTTTTGTTGAAGTAAAGTATTTTTATTCTGCGCTGTCTCGTGACCACCGACCACCATCATTATGGGTTAGGCGTACTCGGCTTCGTGCTCATCGTTATCCGCAGCTTTGGCAACAAATCTATGGCAGAGTCTCTCCTTGCAATTTTATTTGTCACTACTTCCGCGAAAGGCTCAAATATAGTGTTCCATTGGCCCCCATATCCGTCATGTCAGCCGCGGCTTGCTCGTCCTAAACCTCAACGCGATGCGAAGAGTTTATTCTTCGACAATGTATGGGTCGCTGCAACAAATTACGACCTAAAGAGTTCGAGTAGTTTAGGAGAGCAACAAGCTGGCTCTGTATATGATGATCCAGAGCTAGATGAATGGGATTACGAATGGAAGCGGCCCAACACGTATCGTGAAGGTGCTCGTTCTATGAGTTTCGGAGAGTCAAGCACTAGATCGCGTCCTGGATCACGTCGTGCCTCGCTATTCAAGAAAGACCCGAAATCTCCAGACAAGGAGAGCAACCGCCGGAGGGATGTTTCGCCAAGTGAGCTTGACTACGAGAGTCTGCTAGGATATCCTGCGGAGTTTCTTGCAAATATCTTGTGTCCAAAGGACAACATGTGCCACCAGAAATTTGAGCTCGTCGTGGATGATTTGGCTTTCATTGGGCACCCAGTTTGTGCGGAGCAAGATGGTGGGTGGCGATTTAAGCGGCCGCGAGGACGAGGAACACGCAGTTCTACAAACGATCCTTCTCCTTCTGAACATCCATCTCCTGAACATGAAGCAAGCCCAAGAGACGAGCCCGCAACACCAGCACTTACGGCAGCGTCTCCACCTCATACTTTCCATCTTGTCTTCGTTATCGACCTGCCGGATCCCTCATCCTCTGCTTCCGGAAATGTCTTCAAATATTTTCACGTCATCTACGAACAGCTTGCTTTTACGGTCACGGCTGTACTATTCCAGGAACAAGTTCTCCATCGTTTTGTTGATACGGAATGTGAGTCGCTTGGCGCGTTGCGCGACAGTGCCATCTCCAAATGTGCATCCTTTGACGAATTCATCGGGCGAGCTCTGGATGCTTCCTCGCTTGCTCGTGCAATGAAGACGCTCTACGAAGCAGTCAAGTCAAATTCGATCGCGCGACTCGTCCTCAACGAAGTGGGTGTTGAGATCCAACTTCCTCCGCAGCTGGACCGTCTGTTGCACGCGGAGGAAGAAAATCCTGATTTTGTTGAACATCCAGACCCGGATGCTGTGAGCTGGGGACCTGAGCTCAGCTTCGGTTGGGGCCTCCCAACGCTGGCTCCGTGGAAGAGCCTGTTGCTGTACGATATGGATGAAGATCAGAATGGCCTTAAGACGAACTTGTCTCGGCCAGGTCTTAGTCCAGATGACCAGTTGCTAGTAGAGGGATTAGTCCACTTTCTCGACACTGTTTCGATCTTTGACTCGTAAGTTACTTCTGGATCAACTAGACACGCAATGCTAACTGTATTATAGGCTCACTGTCATCGCTCATTCTCTGGATTGGAACCTGGAGCGTCAAGTTTATCCTACCGTTCGCTGGTTGGTCTACCACCGCAGAGCAAAAATCGTTGATACAGTTCACAGAGGGCTACGTAGTGTATTCGCGCTTTCTTCAAAAGTGGATCGTCCGTACGTTGTTGCTTTAAGGTGTATTTCTTTCTTCTAACTCTATTCGCACTATAGTCTCACGGAACTCTCAGAAGAGTTCGCAAAAGCCTTCCCACATCCTGCTATCCCTCCTCTCCCCAAGCTCTTTGCCTTGATCTCAAACCCCTCTTCAACAACCTCCTCGTCTTCTGCTCCCTTATCTCCCTCATCCAACACACGTTTCTCATCTCACGCCATCGACTCAACAACACAAATCCCATCCTCATCCTCGTCTCCCGATTTCTTCACCTGCGTAGTCCGTTCAAAGGACCTCATCCCAGTCTATCAAGACGTAGTCGTCTGGCTTCTCAGACGTGAGCTAATCGTCGCGCTCCATCTCCACGTCCGTATCGTCGCAACGCCCGAAATCAAAGAACGCGTCCGGAAACGCCGGGCTCGTGCAGCAAAACGTCGATTTGAAGCTGAGCGCGGGCGGGAGTCAAGGCGCGGCGGAACTGGCATGGACTCCCAGTTCATTCACGATGGTTTCACAACGGAGACCTTCGTCGCGCGCAGCAGTCGGACAAGGCGACTTTCAAGCCGCTCAGCTACGGATAGTAGTACAGTTGTCGAGGGTGGAATTACCCAAAGTTTCAAACAACACGACGCGTTCACGAATCGAGGGAGGTCGAGACTCCGTCGTGTAGACACTGAGGGCGCTGATAACGGAGAGTACCGATCACATTCCCGTTTGCGATATTCCGTCACTGAAGATGACGATGTTGACAACGCTGAAGAAGCTCTTGAGGACAGCGATGAAGAAGACATTGCAGAAGACGATGACGTGCACAACGAATGGGACAATGATCGAGCGGACGACAACCACCTCCCATCAATCATTCCCGAACCGGGCCAAGCTACTCCACTTCAACGAAAATGGATCGAGGCAATGTCAGAAGGCAAGCCAGACGAAGTTGCGCGTCGCTTCCGATTGTACGTGTCCATCTCATTCCTATACTACTTCACTACCTTTTGTAAAGTGGAATAACTGTTGACGATTTCGCATTTCTTCGGTTTGTGATCAACAGGATCAACCAATTCTTCGACGGGAAACGCACAGACGACGAAATCCTATACTCAGCCGAAATAACGCGTAAACAACTCAGAGAGGTCTTGCAGCAATACGATGAATTCGTGAGCGCCACTCCCGCTGATCACTTTACCATTCACTGAATATGTATTCCCTCAGTTATTGACTGCACTGCATCCTGCTTGATGACTGGACCGTTCATAAAACTCTACCTCAGTGCATTCAGACTGGTCGGAGGTGTATCGTTTGTGGTCAGTCCAATACAGTCAAATGATCATGGCATTTTGTGCAAGATGACAGAATTGAAGCTGCAATAGCTAAAGCCTGTTCGATAACTGGCTCAGGGTTTCACACACCTACTGCAATGGGAAAACCAAAAGCCCAAGAAGCTTGTATTCTTCAAGCGAACGACACACTGAACAGCATTCCTGGCAAGGTGCTTCTGTGTTCTGACAGATCAAGCACTCATTACTTTGCACGTTGTTGTATGCACCTTCTCAAGTCATTGTAGGACAAAAATATGTATGAACATTAATTTCCTAGCAATGCATATGGTACATAACGTATGCGGAAATATTCTATACGGTGCAACACAAGAAATGTGTATGGATTGGGAAACCATTCGTTTCGATGTTTGAGATGTGTGCGGAATCCAGTTTGGCCGAGAATTAAAGGCGTGCAAAGCAACACTGGCGGTTTGGGAGCAATAACGCCTGGCAATTCAGCAAATTGCAATCATAAATCCTAGTCTTTACGCTTGTCAGATACTGCACCCGTCGCTTTGTTGTATTCGGTCGCGAGACGGTCATACTCCTGAGCCTGGGCGTCAGCCTGCTTCTTCAGCGTATCTTCAGACAAAGTTACTTCAGTCCCATAATCCATGTAAACGGATAATAATGGCGCACCGAAATCACGGGCACGAGCTTCTGCAGCAGCGAGTTTCTTCTTCAGCTCGTCTACACTCTCACCGGACTTCCCAGAACCCTTCAAGTACAAATGCCATTTAGACTGCATACTATTAACAAGAGAACAGAAGAATCTCACCTCAGAGGTCTTCTTCAACTTGGCATACTCCTCCTGTGCATGAATGAGATCAAGCACAATATAAAACGTCCTCGTCAGACAAAGCGAAAGGAACAAAGTAAATCCCGTCAAGTACGTATTGCGCTGCGCACTACGCGTCGGAAACAAACGAACAAAACGTCGATCAATTAGCCACCCCAAATCAAACAGCAAATTAAACATGCGTTCAAGGCATTGCATGACTCACTAGAATTTACGAGCCGCAAAGTTAGTTTCAGTACGCACATCATGCGTGGCGCCCATCCCACCAGCTTTCGCCGCTTCCGCCTCGGCGGTAATGCGGAACATGCGTTGGAGCGCATCGACAAACAGTACACCCACAAATCTACATCGGTTATTCAAGGAAAGAAAGAAACAAGGAAATGCCGTCAGTTTCGGGTTCGCTTTAAGACAAGCCCATGACGAAAGCACGAGGATGTCAAGAAAAGAAGGAACGCACATGAACGCAATCTTAAGCCCATACGCAATCTTTCCAACAATAGGACTTTCCGAAAGGAAGGTGAAAACACGTTTGCGGACTGCATGTGGGAGAGGTGCGACGACGGCACAGAACGTGCCCATCTCTGCCGCGAGCAGGAGGAACGTTAACGAGTAACTTTGCACATTCAGTCAGCGATATATACCCCGGTTTTATTCCGACATGATACGCACTAGATTGTCATGTCGGTAGAGATGAATGGGGCAGGAAGACAAGGTGTATGAGGGCAGGTTGCAAGTGAGTTTATAACTGTGCAAAGCGATGCGCGTCAAGTTGAAAGGACGTGTTCGTACGTCATCTTTCCCACGGTGGCTCTATTCTCCCAAATTCATCCATCCGAAACTCACTCTCGAATGAAGAGAAAATATAATAATGTTGGTTGAAAGAAATATTATTGTACATTTGTATTATTTACATCATTTTGAATTTCATCCCTCCCTCTACACCCGTGCTATAATAAGTTTAATCAAACAGATGGTATATGAGGGAATTATGTCCTTGAATGCGTGTTTCGAAATTCGAATGGGACAGCTGGTTGTATCACGTATAGGCAATTAACCAAAGCTCCTCTTGTCATATTTGTACTTGTTCCTGCGAAGCATTGTTAGTCAAGTCAAGAACTGGGAGACACTTAAGCAGAGGACGACGTACAGTTGATACCGAACTGCAAATATGGGTGTTGCAAGAGCGCCGACAACAGCAGCGTAATATGCAAACATTTGCTTTTTGTTGTTCTGTGATAAAGAAATATAGATGATTAGGTTAGCCACCTACCATGAACGCGATCTGCGAAGAGGACGTACTGGGTCAACAGCAAAGGGGTCGAAGTGCGAATTGTGCGCCCATCGGGCTTGGGGTCGACCGGCACGAGCCAACATAGGCGTGGCACGGCGCACAGCAACGGTGAAGAGCGACATTGCGTGTGGGTGTCAGAGCCGCCGAGGCGCAGACGATGGGAGGTAAATTGTATGTTTGTATGTAAATTGTCCTTCAGAGCGCTCTCCTGACCCGCATTTTATACCCTCCTCGAACGCATAAGTCGGAAAGACACACAAAACAATGGCGTATCTCTCCGGAACCTCCTAGACTCTCGCTCCCGAGAGCATCCAGCGTTTCAACCGTAACATTGCACAGCATACACGAACACCATCACGTACCTATACCCTCTACTCATCCAACACACAATAAAATGACCTTATAAGGCAACCATCCGGAGATTGTCGGTGTCTTCGGAACGCTTCGATTACCTATTTTGGTCAATTTGGTAAGGCCGCCTCGAGGAAAATAGGCGAAATGTGTTACGGGACTTTTCGAAGTGTGTGCAAAGTCGGGGCTTCTCGTATCCGAGAAAGGGATAACCTGTCGACTGGATGAGTCCCGGACTCAGAGTGAAATGAACAATGTAGTATGGGAATTGCAAAGTACATCACATGGACAAGTATCGATGTCTGCAAGTAACCTTGCCCAAGAAATTTCGGCAACCAGCGAAAAGGAAAATATATTAGTCCAGATGAGCGTGCAGATGAATAAGATTGGAGATTTGGGTAGAAGTGTGGAATTAGATCTGTAGGAGTCATGAACGAGATACAGCTCTATGTACCGTACCTCAAATTTGCTCACGTTTGACATGTGGCCCAACCACTGTGTCAAAGAAACAAGACGTATCAAGCAAACTTTCTGAAGACTACACTGCAGCAAGGACGAAAATGTCCAGACTAGCCTTGACCGTCGACCTTGGAGTAGTATAGTTGATGAGCAGTTTCGAAAATCCTCTAGCTTACTGATTGTATAGTATTTTTTGAAAAAGTATTGCATAGCTCCACCTTCTTTTACTGGGCTAAGGCAGGTTTAATTTCTGCCTGGAGATCCTGGCTGCATATGAGGAATTGTAGCAACTTATCCTGTACTGGACCCAATGTATTGAAAAGAGGGCTGTACGTCGAGGTCGAGACATTCTTGAGACTTCTTATGACACAAGCAGCTATCGAAAGAGGAATCACAAGTCTGGCAACGTGGACAGAAACGAGTGGCGAGTGATATCCTAGTTCCCCTTAGGCGTTGCTCGAGTCAAAAAGCCACGATGGCAATGGAAGACCATCTCTGGATTCGGCGAACAGGGGCAGCTCATAATTTGGACAAGGATCGCCCATTTGTCAGCACTTTATTGATCGAGGCAATTATGCCAACCATCTGAAGACAGGCGGATGTCAAAGTCTACATATATTATTATTATATTATTCCTCCGAAATATATTATTCAGCACGCAACTCAGAGCCCTCTTCCTTAGTTCCTATGCAATAATTGCGATTAATGCTGAGAAAGCAACTCAATCTCGACTTATTCATCTATAGACTTCCATCTGTCAGCTCTGTTCTGTAGAATTCTAGAGCCCATTGACTGGAGCATATTGCTCGGTCATGCTCTTAGCGACGTTCGGCAGTATAAAGTCTAAGCACGTCATCCGTTTCTCCTATCGCACTCTTTCTACTGCTGTCAGATTCACACTCGCATATTCTCGTTCTCACCGCACTTCAACTCAGACGCATACATTCATCACCATGGCCACACAGTCCAACAAGCCCGTTGTGTTGTACACCGCACCGACGCCTAACGGATGGCCTCAGTCCATCCTACTCGAGGAGCTCAAGGTACGACGTCATACGCGAACCCTCTAGCAGTAACTCACCAAATAGCTATTATTCTCCTCGTCGTCGACAGGCCGTGTACGGCGGACCAGAATATGAGTAAGCATCACAATCACAACAGTACGATTATCTTCATCTAATCTCGCACATCTCCTTCATTCAGAGTCGTCCAAATGAGCATCCGCGACGCAGACATCGGCAAAGTCCACAACCAAGTCAAGCAACCATGGTTCCTCGAGATCAACCCTAACGGTCGTATCCCGGCAATCACGCACGAAGGCTTCCCCGTCTTCGAAACTTCCGCAATCCTCGTCTATCTTGCACAACAATTTGACAAAGAGAACAAATTCTCTCGTGACCCAGTCAAGGACCCGAAGGGCTACAGCCAGATCTTGCAATGGCTTTTCTTCGTGGTGAGTGCGAAGACGTCATATCACGGTGCGGAATGCGAGAGTTTGCTGACTGAGCATAATTGATTGGTGCTTACTCAGCACGGAGGCGTTGGTCCCATGCAGGGTCAGGCAAACCACTTCAACCTCTACGCACCTGAGAAACTGTACGTCGTCTTGCTCCCACCAACACTAATTCCGGAACTGTCTCCTCATCTTCTCGCTCTCCACAGTCCCTACGCGATCAACCGCTACCTAAACGAGACAAAGCGGCTTTACGGCGTCCTCGAATCGCATCTCTCTAAGCACGAATATCTCGTTGATACCTACAGCATCGCTGATATCAAGACCTTTGGATGGGTGCGCATTGCAGAGCGCACGGGTGTCTCGCTCTCCGAGTTTCCGAACTTGAAAAAATATGTTGAGCGCATTGAAGCGAGACCCGCTGTTAAGGCAGGACTCGCTGTTCCGTGAAAGGTGACGAGAGAATGAAGTGTTTTGAAGGCATGGAAAGAATGGGAAAGGTACTGACGTGAAGCTGACTGAAATCACTGAACGCTTGTACTGTATGAATTAAGATAACACAAAACCTGTCATTGACCTATATCATGAGCGAAAGCCGCCGTTATTTTCGAGTAGTGAAAGCTGGTGCTGAGGTTAAGTGTTTAGGTATTAGAGTTTTTTGACTGCTCGGTGGATCGAGGCGTAAGAAATTTCCATAACTGTCAATATATGCGTATACCAAATTAGGATAAATGAGATCCGAAGATGACGTAATCAGAGAACGAGCACGTGGTCTGAACGCGGTTTCGTGCGAGTCGCGTTGAGTTGAAATCAACTTTGAGCCTTGAACCTTGTGTGCCAGCCACTCTGGTCTCTCGGCAGAATTTTCTCTGTCACTCTTTTGCTTTTCGTCGTAATCATTTATTCTAGCTTCAGGCTCGAGGCCTCATCCATGAATGTCGAAAACCAGGTCCAGATCCAACTCGAATGGGACTTCCTGGTTTCACCGCAAAGCACAATTGAGGACTCTGCTCGGAACCTGTGGCGACGATGAAGAGGAAGGAATCGCTCTTGATAAAATATTGCATGGACAAGCAGCTATCGGAAAGACGCAAACGTCTATTGATGTTGACAACGCACGCTTCTCTGACAAGGACCTCGTTTCATTTGGTCCTCTTGCAGATGCACAATTTGGCATGGTGAGTTCGAACGCTCCACTTGAGACTAATGAGATTGATAAGTCTGCAAGGTCGAACTCGTGAGCTGTCGACTAGACGGACGTATTTACGTCCGCAAACGTGTCTCAAAGAAATTCGCTTTGAAAATGCGAGAACAGTGTTCTCCACAGAACGAGCGGCGCATCCTTCTCCTGGCCCTCAAGTCGCAGCCTCGTAATAGCTCATCATGGACACCCCATATGCTATGCGCGTATCAATGCTCGACATTTCTTAATATAGTCATGGAATATGCTGCGGGAGGATCTTTATGGGATGTACTTGAATCCTCTTCCGAGGGTCGCCTCTCAGCTTCGGACCTTGCATGGTGGGCACCGCAATGCGTGTCTGCGATTGACTGGCTACATACTCGTGCGGGGTTTGCGCATCGTGATATTAAGCCGCATAATTTCGTTGTACGACCCGGTCCAAGTGCTCGTCTATTGCTGATCGACTTCGGGAGTGCGGCGCCTCTGTTAGCTCCTCGACCTGACGGTGTTCAGCACGTGCCGCGATCACATTGTCTTGTCCCATGCGGGACCTGCGATTACATCTCGCCAGAGATACTACAAGCACATGAAGAGGCTCTGGTCGCACTCGAGATGTCAGACGACGAACGTGACTCTCCCGATGACTCTGATGTAGAGCCTCCAGAACGCATGAGGCAGAAAGCGGAAGAAATGATACTGCAAGGTGATTTTGGATACGGTCGTGAGGCGGACTGGTGGAGTCTCGGTGCCATGCTTTACGAGCTAGCTTTTGGTGTCGCACCATTCTTTGCGAATGACATACGACAAACATACGCAAAAATCATGAGTCACGAAGTTCGTTCAATTTCCAATCCTTCTATACCTCTTTTGCTAATACCTAGATAGTCCAATCTCACTTTCGACCGTAAAGTTTCTGTCCCATCATCTCTCATCAGTTTCATTAAAGGGTAAGCGATTTTGGTGTTTCTCTTTACAAATTTTAAAGAAATGTCTACAGCCTCCTTACACATCACGAACGCCGACTAGGTCGGTTCTCAGCGAGCCAGTTGAAAAATCATGCATATTTCAAGGACGTGAATTGGACAAACATTCATTCTCGTAAGCCTGAGTATTCAATATTATTAGATGATCTCCTAACCATGAGCATTGAAATAGGACCCTCACCGCCTGACCTTTTACTTCCTGAATTTACATACGCTACACCCTTAGCACCACCTGAACCAGTGGATGACAATTCAGAGAGTTCCACGGATACTTCCAAGCCTTTTGCATTCTCCGCGTTATTCCAGTCTTCCGTCACGTCAAAACCTGATGCTTCTTCTTTCCATTCCAACCAGCAAGATCTTTTATCTACCCCTGCCTTCGGACGTCGCAGTTTCTCCAGAGGTGGTTCTTCGGCTTCAGCTGAGAGATCCATTGCATCCTTCATCGGCTTCTCATGGGGTCCACCGAAGGACGCCTTTGATGAAGCTACACGTATCGTGCCTGCTGAGCCTGCCTCTTCCGAGCCTGGTCTTTGCGTACTTCCCGAAGTCAACAATGAGATTCCTTCTCCCAAACATCCGCTCGTCACTCCGAAACGGCCGTCGCGAGGTACTGCTCCACCGAGCACTGTTCGTGTGACAAGTGTAAGGCGGAGCGCGCAGTCCCGACCCGTATCAGATCGAGAGGCAATGCGTATGCTAGTTAATTGCGTTGGTCAGAGCGCTCGAAAGCGTGTGCTCGAAAGCGGGAAGAAGCCCAAGATACTACTACCTCAGTTCGGGTTTGGATCTCTCCCACCAGCAATGAACTCGACGGCTTTAAGAGATAGCCTTGGAAAGGGTCGACCTCGCGCTCCATCTTACTCACGGGTATCTCCACATTCTTCGATCCCAAGCGCAGTTCGGAAAGAGCTACGATTCGACGAGACGGCAACGCAAATCATGCCGAACCTGTCGTACACCAACACATTCACAACTACACTCTCAAACTCAGGTCTGAGTACGGGTGTTATTCCATACGTCCCTCCACCATATTCTGCCTCTGAGTCGGAAACAGCTACTGAAACAGATGGACCGCCCAGTCCGAGTCCGAGTCCCCGTCCTGGATCCGCGATGTCCATGCTTTCGATGTCGAGACGTAGCGCGACTCCGACAGTGTCGAGTGCGTACCTCATGGGTGTGCCCTCACGACCCAATAGTGAACCCAGTGAAGTAAGACCTCGTAGTAGAGCAGGATCTCTGGGCAGTACCCGCGAGGCAGGGGGTGATAATGGTACTTCGATCATGGAGGAACCTCAGCCCCGCCGGGCACGATTCGTAGACTCACCTCCCTCGTCACCAGAGCCGCCTAAAGAGCGTGCGCCTCTAACACCTCACCCACGCGCTGACCAGGTTGACCGGAGAGATCAACCAGCATCACGACGCACGCGCTTTGAGGCGTCTCCTCCATCGCCTGGCCGTACGAAGAAGTCGGCTCCTGGAACGCCCCATCCTCTCGCTGGGAAGAAAACTGGACAGACAGAACAAACACCTCGCCGCACGCGCTTCGGCGTGGAGTCATTTGCAGAGTCTCCTGAACTCGCCAAAAAACACGTTTATTCAACACCGCATCCAAAGGGACAGGCTCGCCGCAGTTCAAAGCCTCCACTTCAGACACGGCATTCATCAACCCCAGCTCGTCCGGGTTTGACCGGCAGAGACATAACAATAGATGATCTACTCGACGATGATGAGACACTTCGGCCGCAAACTACTCGACAGAGGATGGATCTAAGCGAGACTGAATCCGAAGAAGGAAACGATGTTTCCTCTAAGCATGTAAACGAGATTATTCCTCAAGCTAACGATTCAGAAACGCTTGAAGAGACTCAGGATATTGTTTTACGAGACTCGGTGTCCTACAATCGTCATGGGAGCTATGACAGCGATTGTGATGGTCTAGAATTGTTCGAGGACATGAAACGTCGATACGAACAGCTCCTGGCTGACATCGCAAACGTCAAGTTGCACATTGACGATTTCGCCTCTCAGGTGCGAGATTCGAACCAATAATCCCATTTTCACTTCTTCACTTTCGTTGGATCTCACACTGGAAGGTCTGGCTTATCCCATGTTTCTTGCTTTCCCATACGCCTTTCCTTCTCTTTGTCTTTGATTCTTTCTTCTCATTTATTTTCGTATTCTGTCCATTTTGTATAGGGACGGTCACAACCGAGGTTAGGAAACGCAATCGTAAATACGCATTATTAGCAACTCACATAATTGCATAGACAAGTAATATTATCCGTGTTTTGATTATACGTGTAGCTTTGTGTAGCGGTAACTTGAATAAAATCAATTGTAACAAATTCAATGTGATAATTTGATCACGTGCACTTCATTTTCCTAAGAGCATCAATGACAACTTTGTTTGCTGTCATCACCAACTGCAATACTGACATACACTGTATGACATCGGTAGACTTTTGCAGTGTGCTGACTGAACTTGAAGTGATGATCAATCCGTAACTACTCGAAAGCAAGAAAGGTCTATTTTTCTGATACATTCTTTTTATAGAGCAAATCGGAGAGATTCGCATCTGCAACACAGCAATTAAGGTGGTTGTACGCACCATACGGTTGCTTCATCAAGGGTAATGTACTTATGTGACAAATCACCAATGGCCTCTAGCATCGATTACCTTCTATCTCCGTGGACACGAGAGCACTTTCTCTGTTTAGCACAGTAGCGATGTGTGCAGGTTCACTGTATGTCAGAATGCTGTGTCCTTATGCTGTATCCTTATAGCTATAATTAAGCGATCGAGTTCACAGAACTGATGGATCCCTGGGCGCCATCAGTACCCAATAGATCAAATTGTGCGTAACACTGAATACTGCCAACCTTATAACAGTACAATTAAATCATATCACACGAATTATTCATTGAGCGTGTCCTACTCAAATGGCTGCCCCCTTGGTTGAAGCCCATTTGATCACGGCCTTCAAATCAATCACAGGTCAGCTAGTATATCTATCCTATCAATGCTTAACATTGACAAACTGATATGATTGGCTGATCAGTCTCATGTACTACCTTTCACATTTATTATACAAGTGAGTTGAGATGGTAATTGCCTGTAACTGCGCCTAGCTCATTTCTGTAGCCTCACACTTAGATGAAGAGGTTCATTTGTTTGGCTATTCTTTCTGTCACTCCTAACATAATGAAGAGTTCTGATTTTGGTTACTATCAGATCTTCTTGATTTTATTTAATTCTTTGGATTACATAATCACTTTCTTTATATAGTTAGTTCTTTCCTATTTGGAATGGAAGGGGGAGTTTTGACCAGAGCCCACAACAACACTAGAGGGAACAAGCCCACCAAAACCTAGCCTCTCATTTTGGAGCCCACTGTAAGGGGTGGTGCCTCTGTTCTAAAGTGTCTGGGTTGATTTTGTCTTGATCTTGGCCTCAAGGGCCTTGCTATGCTTGTTTTGAATCAAACTGACTGTTTTGATGCACAAGAAGTACAATGATGTGGCTGCTGAGAAGAGGATCAAGAGAAGCACTGTACTTTGACAGTAGCAAGCTTGAGGAACTTCTGCAGTTCTTTGAAGACATCAAGATGTTAGCCACTGACTTCCAGAAGGACACTGAGTAGATGTGTAAGCAAGTAATGTACTATACAGCAACAAGCTGTAGCAGTTTGTGGGCTACTGTGCCTGAGTTGAAGAAGAAAGGAGTGTGTGATTGGAGCATTGTGAAAGAGGAGATCAGAAAGCTCTATCTAGAGCTGATTGATGGTCAATACTATACAAGAGCCAATATCACACAACTAGTTGATGTGCAGAGTAAGAAGGAAATGACAGTGCAGACAGAGTTTGGCTGCTACTACTACAAGTTCTAGGTGCAAGCAGAGTACTTGAAGGAGCAAGGGAAGATGTTAGCACACAAGTTAGACTGTGAGTTCTAGAGAGGGATCAGAGGGATGCTGAGGACAAACCTGATACAACAACTGGAGATTCTCTATGTGGACAAGGATGCAAGCAAGCTGTTCAAATTTGCTGATGTAGTCAGGCTAGCAGACCATGTTCTTCTAGTAGGGCAGACAGAGGCAGGCCAAGACCAGACAGTAATGTTGCTAAAGGAGAAGCTAGAGAAAGAAGTAGGAGACAAGTATGTAAAGATTGTAAGGAAGCTTAAAGAGTTACAAGCCCAGGTTAATGAAGCAAGCAAGTCCAGGAAGATGCTGATGAATCAAGCATGCAAAACTGACCAATCTGCCAATTCTGTAAAATCCGACCTGAAGCACAAGAGGACCTGCAACTTTTGTGGAAAGTAAGGACATTTCATACATGACTGTAGGACTGTGAGCAAGTACACTCAGAGGGGGAAGTGTATAAGGTTGGGGCAGAAGATTGTGTTAATGAGTGAGGCATTCATGCCAGCCAGTGTAGAGGGAGCAACATTAAAGGAGTGTATAGACTAATACTACAAAGACAAGCCTGTGTTCATAGTAGGCACAATTGATAAAGTAAAAGATAGGTTGAATGCAAGTAAGGGAGAAAAGCATGAAGCTGTTCTTAGAGCAGATTTGGATACAGAGGTGACAAGGTTGGAGGAACACTTGAGGGATGTGAAGAGACAAAGAGAGGAGGCAAGGACTATGAAGGCTAACACAAAGCCAGTCAAAGTCAGACCAAAGTAAAGTACTGAGTTGAGCAAGATTATCAAGCAGGTCTTAGACTGGATGATAGACAGTGTTGTCATGTTGACACACTGTAAGTTGTTTGTAATAGCTCCAGAGCTTGAGTGTCAGTATACAGCTAAGCTTATGAGGATGACTCAGATGTATGACAAAATGCTAAACAAGGCCAGAAGTGGACCTGTGAAGGCAGAGGAGGAAGAGATGAGTGAGGAAGCAAGGACTGACAGTAGAGAAGATTAGCACACAGGTACAAGTGTTGTACACAAGGACAACAAAGCACAGTCAAGCCCAGTAGCAGAGCTAAGAACAAGCAGATTGTGTAGGAAAGTAGTAGATTATGTTGGATTGAGTCAGATTCAAGCTAGAGAACAAGAATGAGAGCAGAGCAGAGGAGCAAGTATGGTAAACAAGGCCAGAAGTGTACTAGCAAGGACAAGGGAGAATAGTGTGATAGATGAGTAGCAGAGGCTGTTACAAAGGGCAGTAGCAAGCCAGATGAACAAGGTCAGAAGTGTATCTGTAAGGATCAAGTGCTAAGGTAATGAGAATCAGTCAAGCCCAGCAAGAATACTAAGTACAAGCAGATTACACAGGAGGATGTTAGAAGCTGTTGGATCAGAGCAGTGTTGAGCAAGGGAGTGTTGGATAGGCACCCCAGTCAGTAACAACAAGGCTGGAAGTATACTAGTCAGGCTAGTAACAGTAAAGCTGAACAACAAATTGGAGACTAAGAGCTTACTGGACCAGGGAGCTGTTATGAACATAATGTGTAAAGACGTTTGGAAACACTTAGGAGTACCAAAGGAGCAAGTGTGGACAAACCTCAGGCCAGCAAATACAGGATCAATTGTGATTGAAGGTGTCATTCTGAGACTCAAGGTGTTAGTAGGTGGAATATTAATAGTAATACTAGTTCATATAGTAAAGGACACAATGTTCAACATGATAATCAGGAGGCTGTTCTTTGCATTAACTGAGTGCAAGACAAAGGATTTCAAGAACAGTAATCAGATTTTGACCTTGATAGACCTAGCAGATCAGAACCAGAAGTGTCAGGTTGAGACCTGAGCAGCTGTTGGATGAAACCTACTACTCACTACTACTACCATCTATGTTAGAGTTGGAGAGGATTGGTCTGGCAAGCCTTTGGCCTTGGTACAGGTTACATTCTCTTTACTCTAACATTCCCTTATACCCCTTTCTTTTATAGACACTCATTCTTACTTGAGACTCACACTCTTTGTTTCTTTATCTTACTTTGATTGATACCTTTTATCCTTACCCACACTCCTTATGCTTACCCTTTATTATTGCTTCTTAAAGCAAGTGACTGAGGACAGTCACTATTTAAAGCTTGGGGAGGTGAAGAGTTCTGATTTTGGTTACTATCAGATCTTCTTGATTTTATTTAATTCTTTGGATTACATAATCACTTTCTTTATATAGTTAGTTCTTTCCTATTTGGAATGGAAGGGGGAGTTTTGACCAGAGCCCACAACGACACTAGAGGGAACAAGCCCACCAAAACCTTGCCTCTCAATAATAACAGTTTAGATAGAATACATATGGGTAAGCATTTTAAGGATCGGACGGCTGTCACGGATTAAACTCTGTGCAGGCCAAACGATGGACAGCCGGGAAATTCGTGTATTTACTTGTACGTCTACGCTGTTCTTAGCGATAAGGAAGGTGTCTCACACCAAAG